GCGTCCCCAACCCCCCTAACATGGACACGCCCCCACCAGCGTGGTACCTTTGTTACAATCGATGAAGCTAGTGGACACATCACACTCACCCAAAGTCCACAGTTATCTGGGGCTCGCTCCTGGTGGTGTGCATGCTACGCAGGCGAGCACCTAGGAAAATGGAGTGAGGCAGCAGACACCAGTCAGTCAGAGGGGCCGCAGTCCCGTTCTGTGAACTACGTTTCAGTCACGTGCACGCATGCGTGTAGCGGTGGTCATGTAGCACTCTAACTGGGTGGTGGTGACAAATGCTTGAGTGACCCTCTTGGGAACTGAAGGCACGAGAGGCACATCAGGCTGGGGAGAACCCATGAGGGCTTTGTGGGGTATGGGAAACCCTGGGGGAGGGATGGAAGGGCCCGTGGAGTGGAGCCAGGAACTGGGGAGGAAGGGCAGGCGGGCCTGGGGGGAGCCAGGAAGGCCGGTGGGGGTTCGGGTTCACTCCAGCTCTATGGCTTACTAGTCGTATAGTCCCAGCACACTAGTGAACCCCTCTGTCTCATTCCTCAGCAGCGAAGATGGGGTAATAACAGGGCCCACCTGGGCAGGCGGGATGGGCGTCAGGTGACGCAGTGCCTGAAGTGTAGCTAGGACTGGTAATTCAGCTGCTATTATCGGCAGGCTTTGTCGAGGAAAATTTGTGGGGCAGCCACGCCTGGAAAAGCTTGGGGAAGGCAGAGATGGCGCCTGAACCAGGTGGGCCTCTGGGGCGGGTTGCAGGTGGAAACTGCAGTGGCCCACGAGGACAGTTCATTTTGCTGGAATTCCATTCTTTAATGTAGTTCAAGCAACAGAGTCCACAGCGTCACTATGCTCATTGTACTGACTGTCTTGTGGCACAGAGATTTGACTCGGGGCAGGGGAAGGGGTGGGCACAATGAATCTTTGGGACACCCGAGGACACTCCTACAGGACCCTGGGCCTTCCACTAAGAAACACCTGACTCTTTCTCCCTCTCGCCCAGCTGGAATTCTCCAGGGTGTTCCCAGCTCGAGCATAACGCCTTTTGCAGTCAGCCCTGCCCTTGGCCACTTTCTCTTTCAAACCCGTGAAACACAAAGTGACCACATGACATCTGTTCTTGGATGATGCCCATGCCCTGGATACGGAATCCCTGCCGCCTTCGGGGCTGGCCCCCCTGCCACGTGTCCTTTCAGTGGCGGGCCTGCTTCCTCTCTGCCCTGACCTGCTCTTGCTCTTGCCATGCCCCTCGTGGGAAATTCCCAAGCCCCCGTCCCCTCCATCTCATGGAGCCTCGTTTTTGGTGCCTGTTTGCACACTGTCTCTGGGAAGCCCCACGCCTGCCTGGCGGCTTCCTGCTGGTGGGTGGTCACATCCCGGGCCTGCATCCTCCTGCGTGAAGGTCAGTCTTTACCTTAAACGAGCCCCGTCCATTGTTCTGATACATCTAGGATGACGTTCCTTTGAACCGTCGGGGTAGTTTTCTTCTCCAGACTCCTCGATGGCACAACCGCTGGCCCCAGAGCACAGACCACGGACCCCTCACTGCTATCTCGTTCCCCGCCCACCATCTCTCGGGGCCGTAAATGTTAATTATTATCTGTCCTACACCCACCAATGTAAAGGAAGTGTGTATCCTTCATTTTACTTTTCATCCCGTCCCAGAGATGTCCCGCTTTGCTTTCTCCCACCTCTTTAATCTACCACCAGCGGATGTCATGTGACCCTCCCGACGATTCCTCTGTTGAGTGTAATGTAAGAAATAAGCTGCTCTCTGGAGGGTTCTCTTAGTCCGTTGAGATTTTGCTTCTGGACGTGTCTTCAAAAGTTTGGCTCAACTTTAAACTCTCATAAAACTCTTCCATAGGTTCGGACCTTCTGTCGTCGACAGAAGAATGTGTTGAAACCTTCCACTGAGATGAGGCCCTGTCAGTCTCCGTGGCTCTCTCGTCCTTTACTTCACAGATTTGGGGCTGCCCTATCAGGCACAGATATGTTTAAAAACTCGTTACGCATTGGGTGAATTAAACCTATTTTCATTATTAATGACCATCTCTGTCCTTAATAAAACTTTGCCTTTTTAAAAAAATCTGGAATGTTTGATTCTTATTTGTATTTTTTTCAATTACATAAACTAATTTTATATCAGTTTCAGGTGTACAGCACAGTGGTTAGATGCTTATATAATTTATGCAGTGATGCCCTGATAATTCTAGTGCCCATCCGACACCATACATGTTTATTAAAATATTATTGACTGTATTACCTATGCCGTACTTTACATCCCCATGACTGTTTTGTAACTATTGACTTGTACTTCTTAATCCCTTCCCCGTTTTTCACCCAGCCCCACAAATCCCTGCCATTTGACAATCATTACTTTGTTCTCTGTACCTATCAGTTTGTTTGGTTTGTTCATTTATTTTGTTTTGTAGAGTCCACATATAAGTGAAATCATATGGTATTTGTCTTTCTCTGACTTACTTCACTTAGTATCATACTGTCTAGGTCCACCCACATTGTCACAAAAATTTTGTCTTAAAGTCTATTTCGGCTGGTATTAGTGCCTTCCCTTTGGCCAGCGTTTGCCTGTGTCCATCTTCACTTGCAGTCTTTGTATGTCCTTAGGTTTTATGTGTGTGTGTCTTTGACAAACAGCATTTATCTTTATATATATTTTTTTAATTTGGTGTCAGTATCTGTCCTTTTGACTGATGGGTTTAGCCCACTTTTTTTACTGTAATTATTTATATAATTAGACCGATTTCTACTATTTTAATCCGCCGATCAGTTCCAGTTCCTCCACACCCTTGTTAACACTTGCTATAGTCTGTCTTTTTCATCGCAGCCACTCTAATAAGTGTACACTAGAATCTCGCGGTTTTAACGTCCATTTCCTAACGACTGCCGACTTTGCGCATTTTTCCATTTGCTCGCACGCCATTTGTCTTCCTTCTTTGGTGAAGCGTCTGGTCCCATTGGTGGAAACCGGAGTTGGAAGTGTCGTGGCTTCTCATTGGCTGAGCTGTAACCGCCTCTCATTGGCCGAGCGGTTGCCGGGGAGAAGCTCCTGCTTCCTCCTGCTGGAGTAGCGGAGCAGAAAACCCCTTCCTGCTGGGGATGGCGGGCAGCCTCTTCCTGGTTGGGATGATTGACATGAGGGGTGGGGCGGGAGAGCGCCCCTTACAGGACCCCCATTCCGATGTAATGCGGTTTTCTCTTCATCCATTTTCCTTTATATGTTCTGGCTAAAACTTATTTTATTTTTGTTTTATTTAGTTTGTCCCTCTCAGGATTTTGTGTAGTCCCTCGGGGCGAGGACCCTCATTCTGTTGAGGTCAGGCGCGTTCAGGGTGGTATGGCCGTAGACTCCTTCGGGAGAGGTTTGATTTTCTTATTTCTCTCTCTTCCCTCTGTTTCCCCGCTTTGAGATGCCTGGCACAGAGAAGTTGAACGCCTCTTAGCTTTTGTTTTGTTCTGTTCCATCTCATCTCTTGTTGCCTGCAGGCGCTTCCTGGAGCTTGGGACTTTGCCAGTGAGCAAAAGCAAGGAACATCTCGCCCTCATCCCGGTCCGGGAGGCAGACAATGAATGGAGCAGTCTAAGAAATCAGTAAATGATTTCTTCTGTTACAAGGCGATCATTGCTGTGGAAGAAAATGGAACAGAGCTGGGGG